AGATCTCAATAAATAGGTATTATGGGAGTCATTGTAACACCCCGATTTTGTGAGCTAGTTTTATCGGTCATTATTATTTCAGTCAGTTAAATATTTTTCTTTTGTGAATAATGTGATTATTGTGTTATCATTTTTGTTTATGGCAGATAATGTTGACCGGTAAGCTCCAAGAATTTCAAGTAAATAAGTAAATATTGTTGTAAAGTTTAATCAGTTTATCTTGAAATAGAGAATATTACTACTACGTATTATGTTAAGCTCGGGCAAAAGCATTGTTTTTAAAGAATATATTAGGAGCCCAAATTAATCTTGGCCCATATAAGTCTCTTTAATTAATCCGGGCCCATATAAGTCTCTTTAAACTAAATCCCTAGAAAACCTACGCCTCTTTCTTTCCCAAGAGCTGAATACTCGCCTCTGATAGTTCGCATCCTTCTTCCTTGGAAAAGTTAATCAGCCGGCTTCTTCATCGAAGGTCTTTTAGTCTTGTAAGTTAATCAGTTGGAGGATGTATATTTATTCTACATGCCATAATGATTGAGAACATATAATATATTTTATTTGACCCGATAAAATAAAATATATTAAAAACAGTCCAAAAAATACAACTTTTGGGGCCGAATGCACATTTTGGGACACAAAGGGATGAACTCCCACATGAGTGGGGGCTACCCCACGTTTTTTGTGCTGAATAAACAAATTGAGAGCTGAGTTGACAAGAAAATAAGTGGAGGAGGTGTAAGGGGGACCTTTGATCTCACTCATTTGCCAAAAGAGACAAAAAGAACACCCCTACCTCTTTCCTTTGCATTATTTCGGCCAACGCACCAAGAGAGGAGGAAGAGAAAGCCCTCAAGCCATTCTCCATTGTTGCAGCACGAGCTCAAGGAGAAGTAGTCCAAAGAAGGAGTTTTAAGAAGGAAAAAGTTAGGAAAAAGTGAGAAGAACCCTTATATTAACTTTTCCTTTATTTTTCTTCTACCATGAGAGATATATATCATATGAAGAACCCTTAGAATTTTTCTACATGATATGAGTGTGGAATAATGGGTTGAAAAATGGTTCTATGTTCAAGAACGGACTTAGAGGCCAAAACAACCGGTTCGCCGAAAAATAACCTTTTAGAGGTTATTTGTATTAATATGAGTTTTATGATTATAAAACCTTGTTAGGAACTTGTATAAGGTACTCCAAGAGCTTTCACGAAGTTGAAAGAGTCGCCGGAGTTCGTCAAAAGTAGCCGGAGTTTCACCGGAGTTCAACCAAGAGGGGTAGAACTTCATAGTGTTAATTCAAGGTGAGGATGACCGACTATATTGCTTATAATTATTGGGTTAATTTCATAAGATTACCTAAATGAATAAAAAATGTGATTTGCATGTATTATTAATGGTTAATAATGCCAAAATGAAATTACTATTGATTATAAGTATAGTATGCATAATATACAAATTTATGAATAAATTGTGTATGTTTATGTGTTATGCATATGATGGTATGATGGTTGTATTAACCATGAATTTTATTTGTGATAAATATACTTTTATTTCATGAGAAGAAGTCATGAAAGCATAAAAGTGATATTTTGATATTAAGGCCAAATTACACATGGCCGGATGAGGAATTAAATTGAAACGAACAAACGACTAGTATTGAAGTATTAGTCGGAAATGTTAGTTGAATAATTGATGGAACTAATCCTAAGAAATTGGATCGTAAGGAATGTGATGTGTAGCCTTAAGAGATCATTTAAGGTGGGCTTTATGGACAGAGTATGGGCCAAGAAATTATTTAGATAATTAAACGACGTGACTAGAGCAGGCTCTAGCACGTAGTAGCGGTGATTATGAGCTAGGCTCTAGACCGATGTAAGTAGCGGTGATTATGAGCTGGGCTCTAGACCGATGTAAGTAGCGGTGATTATGAGCTGGGCTCTAGACCGATGTAAGTAGCGGTGATTACGAGCTGGGCTCTAGACCGATGTAAGTAGCAGTGATTATCAGTTGGGCTCTAGACCGATGTAAGTAGCGGTGATTATGAGCTGGGCTCTAGACCGATGTAAGTAGCGGTGATTATGAGCTGGGCTCTAGACCGATGTAAATAACGGTGATTATGAGCAGGGCTCTAGACCGATGTATATAGCGGTGAGTATGAGCAGGGCTCTAGACCGATGTAGAAGTGTCTAGAAGTAGGGCTCTAGCACGGTGAATTGATATTAAATGAGCGAGGTTAACTATAATGTAACAATACTCTAGATTGAGGGTCTTAGAAGTTGAAACATTGATTATACTTAGTATAGTTGTCATTGTACTTTTTAAATGCTTCAAAGTACTGACCTCCCCTTCACGGGGGAGGCCACCTCATAGTTTCAGGTAGAACTTGAAGGTTGCTACCGTTGCTCGGGAAGATTCAACGAGAGAAGACGTGGTTCGTGCTTCCTCCGTTCCTGTTTTAAAAACAATATGAAAATGCTCATGGATATTATTATTTTGAATAATTATTTGGGCTTGCATGCCTCTGTTGCCAAGTGTGGCATAAACACTTGAAGTAAATGTTTCCGCTGCTTTAATTGGATAATTTACATTATGTTTGTTTATGGATGTACTATGTGTGATTGATATTCCAGACGCCTTGTATAGTATGGATGTGTAGGACTGCGGTTGACTATTTGTACTGTACGGCGGATTGTTGACGTGTCAGGGTAGGTCCGGGGAGTGACATGTCGCCCACATTACTATTACGTATTATAGTTAAATCCTAAGCCATAGTATTACTCTTTACCCTAATGCTTCGTATTAAGTATCTTACAAGTTACTGCATATAAAGTAACTCACAAGTCACAAAGAACTAGAGATGACAAAGATGCTCATTAAAGTGATATCAACTTACCAAACTACTTGAGATTTGTGCATATTTTTGTAAAAGTCAGATAGAACTTGTTTTGGATTTTATTTTTCTATTATTATTATTATTATCATAGATTCAAAGAGTCTACTTGGATAAACCTTATGTTTTTGAAGAATTATGTTTATTCCGCTAGTGCACCTTACGTGTTCAATTTTGAATGCGTAGATCTGGAGTCATCATGTTTATATTGTTGCTTTGGGTTGAGTAATTGCAAACATGTAATTACAGTGCACCGTATTATTCCCAAAAAAGACTTGGTAGTTAGAAGTCATGTTTTTTTATTTAAGACTTGGTAGTTACCCGACCCAGTTCCGATACTCGATGGGTACGGGTCCGGAACATTAGTTCTAGACCCGCCGGGTATATGGGTTGGGTCCAGAACAATATAGAGGCTAACGGGTCCGGGTCTGGAATACTATATTCCATCCCGAACCCGACCCGTTGATAGGCCTACCGACAACTCATCTAGTCAGCATCACAATAAGCCACAATAAGAGATAGTGACGGAGCCGGACGGATCCACATGCCCTGGTTTATAGTGCCCTAAATGTACTTGTAAATGCACTCAACCACCAAAGGTGGACAGTCTTAGGAGTATGCATAAACCGAGAAATTAAGTAAACTACATATGTAATATTTGGTCGAGTCATAGTAATATACTTAATGCTCTTACCATGCTCCGGTATTCAATAACATTAGTGACAAATTCTCCATCCATAAAGGATAGGGTAGTATGAGAGGGCAAAGGAGTGCGCACAAACTTGGTGGTAGTGTGAATATGAAAACGGTTAAAAATGTTTTGGAAATATATTATGGTAAAAATTGTAATAATAATAATCATAACAACAACAACAATAATAAGCACCAAACCAAATCAGAAATATTCAGATTAGATTAGAAAGATTCAAATAATACTAGATTTTAAAAAATAATGATAAAAAGATTCATATAAGACTAGTTCTTAAAAAGTTAAGATTAGAAACATTTAGGTCAACCGAACTAAACATCTTCTCATATACTTTTAGTTTTAGAAGTCCACATTTCATATGCCTAAATTTTGCCACTAATAATTCATACTCAATAGAATCCTAAAACATTATATAAAATGTTCAATATGAAGCATCACAGCCTCAAAACAATGACATTCGAAGAGCAAAGTAACCTCTCCAAATAGCAGAGCAGAGCCGAAGAACGAAGATGAATATCTCTTCCAGCATATTCTTCCTTTCGAGCACACATATAAATCTATTAATACAACTGCTATTATCAAACACGACCGATGACATTTTTAATCTTCCTATTTTGATGACAAATCACAATAGAAGGTCAGAAAATGTCAATTTCACCATGCTTAAAATATGAAATGACAGAATTCTAAAGTCGAGAATCAAAAGTATCTCAATTAAAAAAATTGATCAATTTGTCACAAATACTTCTTTTTTTACCAATTTGTCTCGGTTGTTTTTTTATCAATTTAGTAACACACCCTCTTTTTTTTTTTATTTTACCAATTTGGTCATTTGGTTCACATTTTTTCCCGTATTTTATTGTAGTTTTATTTGTTACCTGGGAAAATTTTCGAGGACTGAGGAAGATATCATCACATGTGAGCTGGGCCGGTTTCGAAGCTCGAGTTTCCCGGGAAAGCTTAACCCCAGACAAACCACCGGAATACTCAGGCCCGACTTTCCCATCTACGTTCCGGCGATGATACTCACCAAGTTCGTTTCCCGGACATATCCTCTTCCCTGCTGCTGCTTCCTCGGTCATCCACGGTTCTTCTCCACCACCCCCGTTGTGTCCACCAATCCGACCTTCACCTCCACTGCCGTCGTGGCTGCAGCAGTCCCATCGTCCCCCTCAAACGCTCTCCCTTTCGGCCCCTCTCTTCACAAAGGGAGTAAACCACCTCACTTCCGTGCTCCTATCGTTACCAGCTCACCGGAAACGGACTCTTTGTTTGAAGAAGAGAGCTTCACCCGAGTATTCCACATTGCGGCTTTGCGAGTTCCCTCAGACATCTGTTCCTTACTTGAATGCAGGCTTCGAGGTCACCTCCTTAATTGGCCCCGCATTCGGAACGTTGCTAGGGTTCCGGGAGATGACATTCAAGAGGAGTTCAAACATTTCATCGCGAACCGCTCAAATTCCGATGTCGATGGCGACCCCCTAGTAAATTTGCAACGTAGGATTTACGGGAAGGCAGCAGAGGGAGATGGAGACAACTTGAGTCAGGTGTTGTACAGAGACAAACTTTCCAGAACATTCAATTCCAAAGGGTTCGTCAACTTCAGGAATTTAGCTAAGATTTCTAGGCCAAAAGAGAAGAAGATGAAGAAGAAGATGGGGCGGGAGGATGAGGAGAGAGACACGAAAAGGGTCGGAAAATATGACATGGTATTGATTGAGGTGCTTGATGCAGAGGTGAGTGAAGATGGGGACCTGAGTGGGCTATTGGGGGATGAGTTCAAAGCGAAGACATGGCGAGGATCAACTAGGTTGCTCCTTTTAGACGAGCAGTATGCCAATAAAGTGTTAGATGAAATGCCTGATGCAATCAAGGTTTAAGTGCTCCATCTCCACATTCTTCTGTTAGTTTCCTTAATTTTGAATATTGCTTCTCTAAAGCATTGAATTAATGCTGTATTGTGCCTCTCTCTGGACACAGTGAGTGTGATGTATTTTACTTGCTTAAATGCTACACTTAATGAATGGAAAATGCTGTCAGGCAGTGTTTAGAGAACATGCTGGTAAAGGTGAAAGACCTACTCTTGAGATTGTTAACTGCAAGTTGACATTGTTTTATCCTTATTGGCTGATGGATGAGGTAATATAACTATTTATTTTACTATATCTGTGTCAATACTACTTGACAATATCTGTGTCAAACTTATATTTTCCCTCTGCATTGTGGTTCTTCTCTAGGACTACTCGTCTCTGTAGTTACTTTTTACAATTCTGGTGACTTCTGTTGCCTGGGTTGATTATCTATTTGCAAACACATAGTTATAACCTCATGATAATTAAAATTATTGCTTAAGGATCCATAGCATATACTCTCCATTCTTTAATAGTTGCAACAGCTTGAGTATCACATTTGCCAACACACAAATTTGACTATAATTATATTTAATTACGTATTAGTAAACTTGATAAGAAGTTAATATTTTAGAAATTCACATTGATACGGATCTAGTAACATTTTCTACATAATAATTTGATAATACATTTTTGTAGAAAATCGTGGTCAAAGTAAGATATGTGAATAGTGCGGAAATTCTAATGTTGCAACTATTAAAGAACGGAGGAAGTATCTCGTTATAAGTTTATAACATCACATAACTTTTTCATGAATATTTCATATGTTTCGGAGGCCGTGTTTATCATTATTAGTCAACACCTATATTTCTATCACTTAAATGTCTGTGAGTTGTTTCCTGATATGGATGGGTATATGCTTTTGCAGGTCTTAGAGGCAATACTTCCCAAAGGGATGATTGTTCCTTCTTCCTTTGAAACTGTTGGGCACATTGCACATCTGAACCTGAGAGACGAACATCTTCCATATAAGAAACATATTGCAAAGGTGATCTTTTTACTTGTCATCCAATTTGTTACTACATGTTGCTGACTTGCTTTACTCTTCATATGTTTACTCTAGATGTGCTCATTTCTTCTTTGATATTGTTATCAGGTAGTTTTAGACAAAAACAAGCCAAGGATACAAACGGTTGTTAATAAAATTGATGTCATAGATAATGACTACAGGACAATGCAGCTTGAAATTTTGGCCGGAAACCACTCGCTTGTCACAAGATTGGTTGAAAATGGAGTTCATTTTCATGTTGACTTAGCAACAGTGTGAGTGTAGCCCTGAAGTACTGATAACAGAAGATGGAACAAATCCGCACACAGAACATCTTATGATTCTTGTTACCCTTTTCTGCAGTTATTGGAACTCTAGGCTGGCAACTGAAAGGCAGAGGCTGCTTAGTTCATTTACTCATGAGGATGTTGTTTGTGAGTTATTTCCTCACCATTTTTTTCTAAGACCCATACCTGTCTGCTCTTACTGATGTGATCTGCGATAGTATTAAGGAAAAATTGACAAGAATAATCCCACCTTTCATTGGTCTTCTCATAATAATCCCACCTTTACGTAATCCACCTTTGCACCTTATCTTCTTTCATTGGACCCTGACCAAGTTTATTACTCTTTTTTTGAAAATCATATAAATAATCTCACCTTTCACTTTTTTATTATATCTTTATAAATGTGAGATTATTTATATAAGATTGTCAAAGAAAGGTAAAAAACTTGGTCAGGGTCCAATGAAAGAAGATGGGGTGCAAAGGTGGGATTATTATGAGAAGACCAGTGAAAGGTGAGATTATTCTTGTCAATTTTTCCTAGTATTAATTTATTTACTTAACTTGAGGATTTATCCTTGCTACTCCCACTTCCAATTTTTCTCTGGAATTGAATCTGTCATTCATATTGTTGCATGTTAATTTGTACTAATATTGTCAGATATACTAAGCTTGGATTATATTAAGTGCTATACCACTGCTAAAATGTATGACTAAATCATTCATATTATCAGATACTTAACTTGAACGCTTTTATGTAATTTTTTCTCATTAAACACAAACTCACTTGCATGCACGGGAAAAATTCAAAAACTATTTAATTGTCATCTGCACTCTTACTAACTATTAACCTTACAGGTGATGTTTTTGCGGGGGTTGGCCCCCTTGCAATATCTGCTGCGAAGAAGGTCAAATATGTATATGCTAACGATTTAAACCCTCAAGCTGTTGAGTATATGGAAAGAAACTGTGTTCTCAACAAAGTTGAGAGAAAAATTGAGGTAGAAATTTACAATCCTGCAGGATGCTATATGACTATATCTTCTTCTGTTTTCCTTCCTGTTGTGGCGTCTGTATAAAGATTACAGACTTACAGTCTTTGTTTTGCATTCGTGATAGTTGCATGTCTCGTTATTGATATATAGTGCAACAAATGATTAACCATGTGCCTATTATTTTAAGGTATATAACATGCATGGAAGGAGGTTCATTGACACAATTTTTTCCAGTCAAAAAACTCGCACAATCACACAAGTAGTAATGAATTTGCCAAATGATGCTGTTGATTATCTAGGTATGTGTAGTTTTTCAAATGAATATTTTGTCTCTCTACGAATCTGCATTACTGGGCATGATTATAGAGTATAGACTTATAGTACCTCATACTTGTATATCATAATGCGATGGGGGAGTATGGAGAAATTATATTTTGTATGGTTACAACAAACAGTATATAATGTTTGCACCATTGGTGAATGCTTTGCGGGGGTATGCAAGAATTATTATCTTATAATAATATATAAAAACATTATAGTTGACATATGTTTGGTGTAATTAAACAAAAGATAATGCTCGTAATATATTTGTTCAAGTATAGCAGTAATGATGGAAATATAGGAAGCTGAAAAGCAAATTAAGATATAGTCACTCCTTCAGAATCTCTCAAATTGGAGTGTAATATGAAGAGTTTGGACTTCAGAGAAGTCATTGGCAATAATTCATCCCCTTCCTTCCAAAGTTATCAAGGGAGTCTGATAATATTAATTATGTCTTTACGTATTTGAGTATTTTCTGCTGTAAATTTGAGTATTTTCTGCTTTTCTCCTTTCTGCAATAGTTTGTCCATCTGTTTCTGCCCATTATGGCAGATGTATTTAAAGGACTATTCAGGAAGAACAACAAGTATAAGGAGCCTACCTTTCCAAGGATCCATGTCTATGGGTTTTCAAGAGCTCAAGATCCTGAATTCGACTTTCATGAGGTATTTAGCAATCATAGGCATGACACTATTTAGTCTTTCGCCTTTTGATTAGATGATACAGAAAATTAAATAATTAAACCAATCCATCGTTAGCTTATATTATTTCCAACAGCGAATAAGAATTGCGTTATCAGAAGTAGGCTTTGAGGTAGAGATGCGAACTGTACGTGCTGTTGCACCCGGAAAGTATATGTTGTGTGCATCATTTATTCTCCCCGAGAAAGTGGCATTTGGTTGAACTACTTAAGCCATGTAAGTTCCTTTGCTATATCCATGGTATTAGGTACAGAGTATATTATGTGAATAAATGTGAGCCACTAGTCAACTCTATGCTCTTAATCCTTGTGTTCCTAGTGTGTCTAAAATGTTTCAAGTCAATTGAGCTTGCTCAAGAACTACCCAGCTAGATTTGGGGCTTATATTTTTCTTATCTCTCTTTTTACGATTTTCAGATCTGACTGATCTAGGTGAAGAATGGTAAGAGCAATCCTCCCTGACTAAGGCTAGAAAAAGTGAAGAATAGTTAGAGCAATTCTCCCTGACTAAGGCTAGAAAAGTACAGGGAATGACCAAATCACTCCTCAAGGCTAGAAAGTGAGGGTATGGCTTCCACACCCTCACTTAATGATTTCTTTTGGAAGGGATTTTTAAATGGTTTGGAGGATATCTTGATATGTACGTGTAATATATGTATGTGTTTGTGTGTGTGTTTGTGTAATATATATGTGTGTATATATATAGCAAGAGAGAGATATATATTATCAAAAGAAATTGAATGATTAACACAAGATGTGATCATATAAAATTCATTTTAATCACCTTTTATCTGGTTTTAAAATGTACGTAGTACAATTCATCAAGATATAGACTAGCCATCCAAGGCCATTTCATGCAAAACCCTCCATCCCTCTCTCACCTTGCACCCAACTTATTGAGCAGAATTGGACATTGCACCTCATTCGGTAATAGCTTGTTGAACAGATAGGATGAATGCATAACTTGTTTTCTTAATGTGGGTGCAAAGTGCAGTTTCCCCCACAAATGGGATGCAAAGTCAATTTCCACTTTCTTAAATTCCATGGCATTCCCTGAACCGTTGACCGTTCCCTGCCTCCTAGCTTAGTTCATCATCCCCGCCACCTAAAAGAAAAGTACATGTCACACAGTGGGAGTATAGACAGCAGAAAACTCTAAGTTGTGAGGCACGTGTTGCGTTTGTGTTGTGGTCTGAGGTTTTATTATTTACTTTTTCCATGATTCAAACACAACGAATAGGTGAAAAAGGTACACTATAAATTACAAAGGGCACAGTGATAAACTTTGGTTTGGTCCAGAACTGGAATCCTACACTGCCTCTTATTTCATGTAGTTATTGTATGCTTTGAACACTTCTTCCCCCGTCTCCAAGAGCTGAACTGATTCATCCCAGTGCAATTACTTTTACTGCTTTTTGTTAGTATCCAACACAAAAGGCTAAAGGGTCAAATAGGTACATGAACTAACTTAAAGTGTTCAATTAGCCCCTTACATAGGAGGTTCAGCCCGGTCATCGCCAATTGGGGAGGTTCCCGGTTGAATTTTTTAATGAAATTTTTTGAGCATCTTCTTCATTAAGTCTAGTTTACCCATACCAAATGTCAGCTAAAAATTCAACCGGGAAGGTAGTCAAATGATTTTCCGAAATGTATTGCGCTGTTTAACTGCGCAGTTATCTTCAAAAAATCATTTGACTGCCTTCACGATTGAATTTTTAGTTGAAATATGGTATGGGTAAACTAGACTTAATGAAGAAGATGCTCAAAAAAATTCATCAAAAAATTCCACCTGGAACCGCCCCAATTGGCGACGGCCGGGCAGAACCTCCTATATAAGGGGCTAATTGAACACTTTAAGTTAGTTCATGTACCTATTTGACCCTTTAGCCAACACAAAATTGTCCTTTTATTGAGGTGGGGCCAGTCACCATCTTTCTTGTGTGAATGAAAAGAGAAGATGGAGAGAGTAAATTTGCATGTGTAAGGAAAAAGATGGGGATGCAGGTGTGTGAATCTGAAGTCAGATATGCTGGTGTGTATACGTAGGGAGCAAAAGAAAACAAAAAGAGGGGTGGGGGTGGGGGTGGAGAAGATGATGAGTGAGTGAGTAGTAGCTATTTGAATTGAATATCCAGAAATAGATGAGGGTTCTCGCAAGGCGAAGAAAGGGAGGAGTAACAGTTGCTAGAAGGGAAGGGCTGTGTGGGGTTAGCTGATGTCAGGCAAAGCCATTAGGAAACAGGAAAGGATCACCAAACCCTTCTCCCCTTCCCCAACCATTAAAGATGATTTTGTGAGAATTGGTGTAAATACTCACATCTCACTCGTATCTCTTTCTCAGATTCACAGGGACCAGCTCCCATGGAACAACTACCTCTCTCTCTCCCTCTAACGCCTCTAAAGAATCTTGCTTATTCCCAAAAAGAGTCGTGTAATTACCAATGAATTTGCATTGAAGTTGTGAAATTTATCTATAACTCAATCAAGAATCTCATTATAAAGTAAATCCATAATATGATATACTCCGTATGAAATTTATCTTGCAAACATAAAAGAATCTCACACAAATTAAATAAATATGATATAATTTACTTAAATACGGAGTATACCATACTTGACGAACTAAGTATGGTATATATTTAGTCTCTATGTATGTTACAATTGTCGAAATCCAATCTAGTCAGGTCTTGTGTTTTGCTTTTGTTTGGGTATCGATTTTCACCAATTTCACGTTCAGGTCAAGTCAATTTAATTTTGATTCCGTTTAAATTCAGATTTTTACCAACCGATACGAGTTTTTTCAATTTGATTTCCAGTTTGTCAATATAAAATGCGATGGACGACGATGTAAGAATATTGAAAGGAATGGAGATCATATATTTGGCAAAACTCATATGGAGTAAAATGTTGGGAACATTTACTAAGCTTGAGTTAGAACATCTTATTCGAACTCAAACATATAAAAATTAATTACCAAAACTCGAGTTGAGCTCGGGTTTGAGCCAAAATTATTAGGCTCGTTCGAGGAGCTCGAGATCGAGTTCAAGTCGATGCATTCTTACCAAGCTCAACCTTAAGCATGACCAAGTTCGAGCTCGGCTCATTTGCAACTCTACTATGTAGCCTTGTAAGCATATACATAGCGCGTTTTTAACCTATTATTTCTGTTTATCAATCAACATTATCAATAAATACTCAATTTCTTATTTAGCTCGCCAAATTGTGTAATAGTTAAAAAAATAAGTGAGGATAAAGTTACTTTTACGGTTGAGTTGACTGAATCAAATTGATGGAGTGTATTCCCATATACCGTAAGGGTATCATTATTCACAGAAAAAGAAAGTATTCGGAACACTAAGTCAATATTCCGTCGAGGCTGACCTCGACCCACCTGAGGTCGCTCTGAACATTTGACTCCCAAATCATCAAGATAAGACCAAACCCAAGGCTGAGCTCGACCCTTGTCGGGGTCAGTATAGTAGTGATAATGATATAATCATAATCTAATTATAGTCATGATAATTATTCGATAAAATATAAAAATCACTTTTCCTTGTGGCAACTCAAGACCAATAAATACTCTATGTATATATAAAGGCCATAAAGGGTAGAAGTGTTAGGAAAAATTGATAACAATTATTCCACCTTTGTCCAATCCACTCAAAATAATTACGTAATCTTGGAATAATTTCATTCTTGCAGCTCATTTTCTCTCATTGGATCTTGACCGATTAATGGCCTACTATATCAGATTTTTTGCATTTTCTTTAAAAATCTTTCATAAATAATCTCAACTACTAATTATCATGACTATACTTAGATTATTATTATATCACTAGCGTTTGATCGCGCAAGGCGCGATAGCTAATACCCAATAAGAGACTTTTACATCATTTGAAAATCAGAGATATACAATATATAGTACTCCGTAGTTGTTACTACTTTTATCACCTTAAATTGAGACAAGAGGGAGCAATATAGTTATTAAGATAAATGGAATTGTATGATTGACAATGTAATGATAAAATGTGAATAAAATAAAATGGATTGTGACCACTAAATATTACGAAGTACTAAATATAATATGTGACAAACATAATACGGCAGATTAAAAATGTAAAATGGAACAAAGATAAGAGACAGAGGGAGTAGCACATATATCAATAAAATTTTCATAATGAGTGGGCATATGATAATAAAATACTCACTATGAAAAACGTAATTTCATTGTGACCATATACGACTACTCTCGTAATGAAATTTAGTCTCAATTTTAAGCAACATAGAATTACAATGTAAATATAAAGATTACACACATAAGTGACAAAAAAATAAAAAAATACAGAACCCGTTTGATAACATTTTATTCGGCTTATCAGGCTTATCAACCAACTTTTTCACCAATCACGTAACTTTTGATTTCGTGTGCTAAAATGTGTAATAATAAGAAAATGTAAGGTTAGCGTTACTTTTCTGGCTGTTTCGGCTGAAGTTACTGTAGAAGACCATTTTAACTATTTTTACATATAATTTTTTCTTTACTTTATTAATAAAATATATTTTAAATTTATTTTTTCATAAATCAGTAGAATCAGCCAATACAGCCACTTAAGCCAGAACTTCATAAATTTTAGTAGGATCAGCTGATTCAACCGATTTCAATGTTACCAAACGGGCTGACAATGTAAAGGACATAATTTCACACTCTTTACCCCAGTAATAATTTACACCCCTCATATATAAAAACTCACATTAAAATTATTATACATCTCGTTGCATTGGTATAAAGATAATCAACATAAGTTTTTGAGTCTTTTCTTGTTGGAAAAATGTATGAAAAATTGCATTTAATGGCTATTTTGGGGCAATTTTTTGAGTGGGGTACACTTCCGATTTGGGTCGGGTCAAAGTGGTTTCAGATTGTCCTTGCTTAGGGCTACAATTTGATATATGGTACGCTTAAAACGGATAACGGGTGAATGAGAAATTGTTTTTCGAAGTTTACCCGTTAGAAGGGAAAAAGGATGAGTTTCTAGTGTGTTAATTTCCCACACCGGAAAAACCCAAGGGATTTGCAACCCTTTATAAAGGGACTCCCCCCTTAAGGAGTTAAGATTCCTAAGGGTAAAGGCTCTCTCCACGCGCACAGGGGGGGGGGGGGTGCAAATCAAATCCCGAATTCGGAGAAGAAAAACCGCGACTTGCGTGCGCGGGCGACCTGCAGACTTGAATGTCGTCCAAAAATCCATCTCTCTGTCGAACAGAAGGCCTCGACCAGAACACCTCGGTATGGTGTTCTGGTGGCTTCGGGCAGAGGGCCTCGACAGAAACCCTCCTAGGGTGTTCTGTCGGCTTCGGACAGAAACCCTCCTAGGGGTGTTCTGCCGGGTTCGGACAGAAACCCTCCCAGGGGTGTTCTGTTGGGAGGTCTTCTGCTGGTAGGTGGTTTGCAACAACACACAAATTGATGCACGTTTTGCACCTCTAAAACACACTGCTACCAATCTGAAAATTCCCTCTGTGTTCATACTGTGTTCTCATTCGCTGGAACTTTTGTTTGTGTCTCAAACATTAGTTCGTAGTCACCGTATTCTGGGAAACGATTGTTGCAACGCTCCTAGCACCGTGGGAGGCAACAAATACGTTTTAAGGACATCGTGCGTAGCACGAGCTTTGACTAATTCTGCTTCATCTCCTTTCTTGTTTTTCTCTAGTCATTTTATTTTAATTAATTTATTTTAATTAATTTTCTTTATTTTCCGAAACACACCCAACATTTC